AGGCAGAAGGAGTAGACGTTGCTGAAATGGATATTGAAAATATGGACGTTCTCACTGAATTTGGTGAAAGCACTGAACATACTGAAAAAGAAAAATCAAGTAATGGGTCTCAGGACGAATTGACTGAAGTGGAAGTTTCTGCCAGCAATAATAACTTGCGTAGTTTCAAACGAGCTAGTAAGTTTGTAGAAAGACAACAAGCTAAATTATGTATATACCTACTCAATAATTGGGTTTTTTCAGAGAAGCAGACTTACCAAAAAGTGGTTGAATCTTTTACAAAAGACTGGAAAGAATCACAGAAGGAATTACTTGAGACCATGAAGGAGCAGGATGAAAAATTGATAGATATACAGAGCAAAAAGCAAGAGGAAATTTTGGAAAAAAATATGAAAACAATGGAAAAGATTCTAGAAAATGATCGAGAGGAAAATGCTAAAATGCTGCAAGAATTTCTAAGCGCAATGCAACCAATGCAGCCGCACGTCTTCCAGGCACCAACACATTTCTATAGGGAGTCTCCATCATCCAGTGTTATTTGTGTACCATTGCCTAAAGGATCTTCAAAGACCAAAGATGAATCTGCTTAATTTTATGTACACTCAAATTTAATAATTACACTTTTGAATTCAATAAAATACAAGAAAAATTTTAAATTGCAAATGGTTTGCTGTACTGTAAGAAAAGTAAATTGAGGATAATAGTAACAGAAGCAATCCTTTATATTTAAAAATAAGCAAAATGTGCATGGTCGTTAATATTCAACTGTGCATAAGAAACTCCAAGAAAGAGCTTACAATTTTCGGCGCCGAATGAAAATCTTTTACACACACTTGTAGACAAGAGTCTACGCTTTATTAAAAAAAAAAATGTCGGTTGAGTAATTTATTACTAATTTCGGTTTCAAGGAGGAGGTGGGATGACTTATCAAAAATCGTGGTCCATCCTCTTTCGTTTTGGGCGCCACGCCCACTCCCCTCCACCCCACACAAAAATCGCATTTTTACTTTTATTTTACTTAAATTATTTTACCAAAATATATGTATGTAGGTAATTAGTAGTATGTATTAGTAGTGGTATTAGCAGTATTAGTATTATTATTATTATATGTATTATTATTAATATTATTAGTATTATTGGTATTATTATTATTATCAGTATTAGTATTAGTAGTATTATTAGTAGTATTAGTTGCATTTAATAGTAGTATGTATGTAGTTAATAGCTCCTAATCATAATTCATATAAAAATTTCATGGACGGACAATTTTCTATTTCTGTAAACTTGTGTTATTCGGTTTTATTTAAAAATGTGATTTTCGCACTGGAAAATTATTTTTTAAAAAGTTTTTAATATTATCGCGCATTTGTTTCGGATCACTATTTTCCTCCCTAATGATTTCATTGGAAACTGCATCTTGTGGTTGGGGAAATTCGATTTCATTCTGCATGTCCGTGCACCAAGAGTCCAAAAAGCGCTGCTTTTCTGTTTCGACAAAGTTGTGTAATATTGAACACGCCAAAGCAACAAAAGGAATAAATCCTGGATCAACATCCATTATTTTTGAGAGGCATCGCCATCGACCTTTTAGTCTACCGAATGCGGGCTCCAGATGGCCAGTGTAAGGCTTCATAAGCCATGGAAGCAATGGGTAGGCAGGATCACCAATCAGCATCATGGGCGTTTGCATT